CTCCATCAGATATAGGGGAAGCTTCCAGCAGCTTCTCACAGAAGCCTCCCCTGTAGCCCCGCCGCTACCAAAACCTTGCCACGCAAACACAATACACCCTTAGACAAAGTAGACTATAAGGCAGTGCCTGAGTCTTCTATCTCCTTCCTCATTGCCTGTTTAGCACTGATATGCAGCACAGGAGAATATAGTACATAGGAAGTGCATTTGTACAAAGAAATGGGGAATTGCATGGAGATGTTGCCCTCAAAAAAAAAAAAAAGCACTGAGGGAACACAAGATTTCCTAACTGGTGGGGAGGACACTGTTTGCTTATTACAAAAATTTTTGATAATTGTAGAATACAGTTCTTGTCATCTCAAATCTTCATGATTTATTACTGTTTTAATTTGTATTTTTGGTATTAAACCAACAGAATAAATTAAAGCCAATATTAATTGGCTGGTAAGGATTTTCCAGACATCCAGTTAAAGAGAAATTTTTTTACAGGTGCTAAGCAGTCACCTAGGCTCTAGTTACCTACCTATGTGTAGAGGTGCAGACATCTAACCTTTAAAATATGATTGTATTCAAAGAATGAAATGATTTTGCATCCCAGAAGTACTCAAAGAGGAAGGGGTCTTTCTTCTCTAGCTCATAGATGTCTGAAGTTAAGCATTCATTTGGCTGATTTTTGTGTAACATCCTTGCTACCTGAAGACATGAATGTTAAAGGAAACCCAATGTATTAAGCCTGGTTGCTAGAGCCTGTCTGGTGTTCTTGTTCCTACTGAGTTCATGGAGTGATTTGGATTTATTTTGATTCTAAATTTTGCTGTCACCTCGCTGGATAGTAATGGAAGGAATCTCAGAAACTGATAGTGAATGAATGTTGGACTCTCGTTAAATAATAAAATAAGTCACATAGCTGATAAATGATAACAAGTGACAACATTCATTGCCACTTAATGATCTTATTTTACATAGCTGGATGCCTCAGTATCCATCAATATGGACTTCGGAGCTACTGATTAACACTCGCTGATTTTAAAATGTTAAGCAAATATATACAGATAAAGAGTTTGTTTCTCCTTCTGCTACAATCTACAGGAAGGCTCCCACTGAATTTTTCGGGTGTTAGATTGGTCCCTGGGCTGCACCAGTTATTTTAGTAGCCCGTCTCACTGTTGTTTTGAGGCCGATGTAGTCAGCCCGCTAGTTCAGGTACTTCACTTAGATACTTGGCTTTTTTGATGTGAATGTCCCTGTCAAGTCTGACAAGGATTGCAGTGTTCCTGAATGCATAATCCATGCACTTTGGAATCATCTTTGTAATATTTCACTGAGTTGATGACATTTACTTTCTGAGAGGACTCACAGAGTGTGCTCTGACAAAGTGCCATTAAAACTGTGTGAAAGAGCTCAGGTTAATTCAGGCTTCTGTGCTGTAAAATAAAGTCTGAAAACAGGACTTTGCAGCAGCTGATCATAGATACCCCCAGTCCATTTGCAATGA